TCGTCTCTCAGGAACAAAGAGTCCTCCATCAAGGGCTAAGCCCTGAATAACAACATCACTGAAATAGAATTTATTAGAGTCTTCTTCTGTACTCCTTCCAGACCTACTAGACCTTGTTGAAATGAAGGTTTCCAGTTCTGAGTCTTGGTATCTCTTCACAGCATCAAGTACCTTTTCTGCTACGACCTCTGCTGCAACATCCCTGCCACAAAGAACACGGATGTCAAACCATCTTTTGTAGAACTGCTTCCTAAACTGGAGTACATCTTTGAGAGAAATACCAGGAGACAGCCCCACGATACGATCCATCTGCTGTGATTTCAGCCTGCTCATAAGGACTGTTGTGGGCACATCCAGATACACAACTATTCCACTTTTCTTTATGTGCTGCATGCCAGCAGCATGCATTGGATTGGATCCACTAAGGGAAATGACACTTCCAGATGCTGAGAACTTCAACAGGGCTTTTCCTTCCTCCTCTAGAAATTCCTCATAACCAACATCCTGCAGTTTTTCTGACACGCTCATATTCCAGGTTGTTTCAAGGACATCATCATCTATGTCTATGACAGGGCAGTCCAGTTTCTGGCCCACTATTCTCCCAGTCGTTGTTTTCCCAGCACCTGGAGGTCCCATCAGGATAATATTTTTCTTTCCAAGAAGAGAATGACTTGAGAACCATGACTTCCATATCTGTGCAAATGCAACAGGTCTTGAAAGCATGAGTTTTAAACACATGCTAGAAAGACTGTTCTGGGTTATTAGTCTTAAAGGCTGATACTGAAAAACGTGAAACATCTTCTGATGAGTTATTGTGGGTTTTTTCCCAAGACAACTTGACAATCCACTTAACTGCTTCAGAAAGAAAACAAAAAAACAAACAGTAACTATCCTTGAGAAAAAGCCCTCAAGGATATAAAATTCAGAACAAGAGATCAAACATAAATCCAGCTATGACCTCATCAGTGCCAAGGAGGTACTTTTCAGAGTAAGACTCATTTCCCTCTCCTCCTGCTTAGTTCCAGCTTGTTTCCACTGACAAACCCAACTTCAAAAAGTTCATGTCCTCAAGGTAAAAAAGACATCCAATCCTATTACTACAATACTGTTCGCAAATAATATTGCTTATAGGAACTAAAAAGCATTTTGTTTTTTCTTCTAGAAGACTTGCTTTAACTACACATTTATAAGTAATAATTAACTTGGTTAGCTTCTTGTAATCAAAATGATACCAAAATATGCATTTGTCCCACCTCCCAAGAAAACTTTAATTATTTTTAATCCTTTCTTTTTAAAAAAAGCAAATGCAAGACCCACTTAAATACACAGATAACTCACAGTCTTGTGTAACAGCAAGGCTGGATGAGTTGCATTGAAATCTCTTCTGAAGACATGGAAACCAAGCAAGGGATTTTTGAAGAATTCCTATACTGGAATTGTATTGAATATTATTTGGGGATGGAAAGAGGAGGAGAAAGGGACAGACAGACAGAGAGAAATAATGAGGACCCTCTAACAAAAAAAGTAACTAAGAAGGATGGATTTCCAACAAAGTGAGAGAGTCCCAATGTTGTGCTTTGTTTACTTAGAAAAACAAACACCAATATCTGCACTAATTGGAGCACATGAGTTATCTGTGATGTTTAGAGCAAAAGGGGAAAGACTCAAAATCTCCCTAAAACTGTGAGGTGGGGGCAGGGGGAAGAGCATTTGCTCACTTCTATGGAAAGTTGAGCTTACAAACAGTATATCTCTGTGTTTGCACTGAGTGCTGTGACCTGGAGAATATGCTGTAATTACAAAGCATAGATCAGAGTAGAGATGGGCATATAATGCTATCCAGTTTTTTTCCTCAATCCTTGTAAATTATAAAGGGGTCAGCCTGTGTAGATGCAATATAGTTTTATAAAGCTTTAATAAAAAAAGGGTTTTAATAAAACTTTATAAATCCTTAATAAAAGGAAAAACAAAATGCAGAGGGTAATTGTAATATCCAGTATTGCTCTAAAAGTGTACTGCAATAGTAAGCGCTCTAGTGCATATATATGTATCCTTTTTTTTTAGTGACAGAAAGAGATCTTCATATTAAACTTGCATTATGTAAAAAAGTTATATTCAGGAGTAAATAAACCCAAAACCAGTATATTTTAGCGACTTTATTTTTTGAACATAAGAATCACCTCAAGCATTGTGTGTGTGAACTGAGGGAGTGAAAACCACACCAAGCACAGAGTCCTGCCTGCCGTGTCCTACTCCACTACAGGTTAACAGGAGCTGCAGTCAGTTGGTGTGCATTACTCAGATAATGGGTGTAACATCTGGGCTGCCATATGAACTTAGGCCATAGGTATTGTTTAAAATTAACTTGAGTTTTGCACTCACCCACATAAAGTACATGTACGTAGAAGGCCGCAAGCATTGAAAGCAACCCGTTTTTTAAAATTATTTTTTGTCCACTGGCAAAACTTCAACAGTAGAAACAGCCAAATGATCCACCCACCCCACTTTAGATACAAACTCCACGCCAAAAGGGTGGGGTTGTTGCGGCAGAGCTTACACCCATACCTCCAGTAACGTTTTGCTTTGGCTATTCAGCTCGACAGAGACGCGGACAGCAGCTATGTATCTTTAGGCGTGACCCACAATTTTAACAACCACTGCGGGTGACAGGTGCTCTAGTGAAAACTGGGCCTTCCTACTTGCATAGACACGAGACCAGCCCCCGCACCAAGCTCCTGCAGCGGCTCCCTGAAGGAGTCAAAGCGCGGATGGGAGGAGGGAGAGAGCCGAACGGACCGCACCGCACACACCCACCCGGTCGGCCGGCACTGCCCGGGCTACGGGCTGCCACCTCCGTTCGCCCTGTTCTGCCCTGTCCTGCCCCATTCCCCTGGTCCCGGCTGGGTTCCACCCCCCATTCCCCTGGTCCCGGCTGGGTTCCACCCCCATTCCCCTGGTCCCGGCTGGGTTCCACCCCCCATTCCCCTGGTCCCGGCTGGGTTCCTCCCCCGCCCCCCGGCGCCCTCAGCGCGGCGCGCGCACGTACCGGCGGGGGCGGGGGTTACCGCTGCCACAGGTACCGCGCACGCGCAGTCCAACGGCCCGGCGCGCCCCGTCTTCACCCCCGCGCCGCGCCGCGCGGTGCCGGCAGCAGCTGCGCCTGCGCGGCCGTTCCGCGCCTGGCGCTGGAGCGGGTGGCGGGGGTGGCCCCGCCCCTCATGGCGCCGTTCCCCGGCGGTTTCCCCGGCAACCGACAACAGGTGCCGGCCCCGAGCCCCGAGCCCCTCAGCGAGGCGGCGCTTCCCCGGTCCGAAGCCCCACAGGCAGGCAAGCGCTCCCCTGTGCCCGAGCTGCCGCGGCGGCAGCATGGCCACGCAGAGCGCCCCGGAGGGCGCCTGTGACCCGCCGCCCCGGCCGAAGCCGCCCGCCAAATCTGACGGGTATGTGGGTGTCACAGAGCTGCTTGCGGGCAAGGGTGGCTGGTTCCGGCGAAGCAATGCATCTAACGGGTAACAGGTTTTAAAAACCCCCAAACAAACTAGTTTTTCCATAGTTACGCCCCCTCCTAAGGAGTCACTAATATCAGGAAGGGCATTGAGGTGCTGGAGTGTGTCCAGAGAGGGGCAGAGAACCCTGGGGAAGGGTCTGGAGCACGAATCCGATGTGCAGCAGCTGAGGGAACTGGGCGAGTTTAGCCTGGTGAAAGGGAGGCTCAGGGTGATTTTATTGCTCTCTACCACTGCCTAAAAGGAGGGTGCAGCCAGGTGGGGGTTGGACTGTTTTCCTAGGCAGTTAGTGACCGGACGAGAGGACATGGCCTCAGCTGCACCAGGGCAGGTTTAGATTGGACATTCGGAAGAGATTTTTCACAAGAATGGGTGATCAGGTACTGGAGTGGGCTGCCCGGGAGGGTGGTGGAATGAATCCCTGTCCCTGGAGGTGTTTAAGGAAATACTGGGTGTGGTGTTTAGTCTAGTTGATAAGATGGTGTTGGACTTGATAATTCAGAGGTCTTTTTCAGCCTAATTAATTCTGTGATCTGAGGGTTTATGGTCTGCTCCAAGAAGTGATGATTTAAGTTTGGTGTCTTCAGTGGCATCTTGTTAGTTCATAATTTACAAAGCAGCCCTTCTGTGCACAGGAATTACATGACATCTTTGTTATTTGCTTAGCTCAGTGAGCAGCTGAAAAGGTGGGCTTTCCAGTTTCCATGCTTTCCATGTTTCGGCTGTATCCTCTGACATTGTTTCTTTTGCTTCCTTTTCTTACCGCTTGCCTTAAAATATAAGAAAAGGCCTTTTGCCAAGAGCTATGCAGACGTGTTGTTTTTTTCAAGTCCCTATTTATATAAAAGGCTGTTACACTTAGCATCCTTAGTGAAAGGGCAGGTCGTAACTCAATAGTTTTAAAACAAGTAGATGTATCAGTGACACTCATTAAAACAAAGATAGTTATCCTGTTTCAGGTTAAAGGATTCAGACTTGTGAGATTCCTAGTTCTGAGTCTTTCCCATGTAAAAGTAGGTCTTTAAATTTTGTTTGTTTTCATTGTTTTCATTCATCACAGATACTTTTGAAGACAGAGGAAGGTGAAAGGACAATATGTTGAGGCATGCACACTAAATCCATTCCTGATTTAATACTGTTCAGAGATTTGGATACTCCATGACCATTAGGTTCAGTTTAGGCAAGAGATTCCTTGGCTTAGATATAATCTGACTAAATCCCCTTCTGATCTCATTGACTTCTGTTGTCACCACACTTGCAGCTTAGGGTCACAATTTGACAAATATTCAGCTGGTAACAGGACTATTGAACCTGGTTAATAGCATGATTTGGCCAGTTTTAACTAATGCATACAAAATCTACTTTGTTGTATGGGGGATTTTTTCCCAAATGAAATCATATATATTTCACCCTCAACTGACTATTACTGCAACCATCCTCATTTTCCCCAGCTTTGATATCCCAAGTTGACACCTAAGGAATAGGTGTCATCTTCTGTCTTCTTACAGATGTATTGTCTCTTTTTCCCTTGCTAAATGATGAGCAAATTAGATTCTGATGTTGCTCATAAACATGTTTTTTTCCTTGCAACTCTCTCTAAACCTGTGATATTGAGCCACTTCCTTGAACTGGAAAGTCACTGAAAACATAAAAGATCCCCTATCTCTTCATCCGAAGGTGTCTATAGCTGTCTACAAATGATGGCTTCACCTCATACCAGTATGTAAGAAACTCAGTGTTTTCTCATGTATTTTCTCATTCCAAGACTGTGCACATCACTAGGTCAAAATTTGAATAAGGCCAGTGCCTTTCTCTCCCATGTGCTCATGATGCCACTTCTAGAAAATGGTGAGGAATACTGCTATTTATCAATTTGGTGGGTTTGTGCAGTGTCTATAGCTGTTTACCATGACTTTACCAGAAAAAAATTTAAAAAACCTCATTCCTTATAATTAGAAGTATTTCAGGAAGTATATATGATCTTATGCAGAAAATCCTCTCTCTGATTTTGGAGACCAAATCTCCAAAAAACAAAATAAGTCCACAATTTTAATGAAGTCCTCTGACATGTTCTAATGTTATGATCAGGTACAAATATATTTATTGGACATTTGCAGCTCATGGACAAGAGCTTTTATCAATGTTGCTACTGTGATACACATTCAGTGGCCCAGGATTACATGGTTTCTTTCCTCCTATTTCAGTATTTCCATAGAAAGGACTGCACTATATGTCATCTTTTTTGTTCCTTTTTAGCCTTACTTGAAAACATGACATTGTTTTCTTCAGAAACACATTTTTTTTCTGTAAAAGAAGCACAGTTTTTCATGAGCTTTAGTCTACCATAAATTAATATGACATATTTCCTAAAGATGGGCAGATTATAAAAGTACAGTGAGGGAGCCTTCCCTTCAGGAGCAGGGAGTTCTGCTTCCTCAGGCAAACATCTGTGACAGCTCAATCCTTCAGATAGAGGCAAGATGTTGCCAATCAGCTAATGATCAGCATTTGGCTGCTTTTGGAGATTTTGATTAAAGCAGAAGTTACCATGCCATATGCAACATTTGACCAAAACAGCAGTGTGTGTATACCATGTTCATACAGCTTTTCATGTCTGAGCCCCCACTGATTTTCACATCAGCTGTTTCAGTGCCAAACCCACCCCTGATTACCATTGTTCAGGATCACAGCTCCTGTCTGTGTAACATAAGGGATCTGCCGTGTGCTGTGCTATTTCAGAGCAGTCACCCCCCTCATCTCTCATAAGTGTCTGTAACAGATGGTTCAGCAGGAACACTGAGACAGTGATACAGTGGACAGTAATAAGAAAAACTGATGATCAAGGACATCCTGTACAATTCTTGACTGCATTTGACATCTTTTCTCGAGCATAAATCATAGAATCATAGATAATGCTGAGTTGGAAGGGAGCCATCAGGATCACTGAGTCCAACTCCTGGCCCTGCACAGGACACCCCAAGAATCACATCATGTACCATAAGGAATTCATGCAAGCGATACTCAAGTTTATTTACAAGATTTAGGTTTTGTTGGAATTCAGAATGTCTGTGTTCAGTGTATATATTTGGTATTTATTTCCCCAAGTGTGATAATTCTGACCTCAGAGACACAAGAGCAGAAGGAAGAAGCAAGCTAAAGCTAACTTGAGAACCAGAAAGCTCCTTTGTCACTGCACTACTAGATTTAGGCTTAGCATGGAGGCTGTGTGAATTATGGGCTTTATTTGGGAGAGAGTACAAAACAAAACAGATTAGGCTTTTGCCATGAGCTACTGCAAAAAAGTATATTCTTTGAAGAACATTTTCTGACCCTTCTTTATGGATATTTTTTAACCCCTAAGGTATATATCCAAACTAAGAGAACTTGTGAAACATGAAGGAGACAAAAATAAATCTCAGTGGAAAACTATGGGGCCAGCAAAAGTTGCAGTGCCATCTCCAAATGATTTTCTGCAGAAACGTTCCAAGGAGTCCAAGCTAACACCAAGTAAGTGTAGACAGAAAATATATGCAGTAATGTATTTTTTAGAGTAGAGAGTTCATCTTTGTGTCTTACAGTACTATGTTATGGGCAGCTATTGGGTTGTAAAAACAGAAGTACTGGTTTGTGGTGTCAGTATCTGGACTCCTATTGTTGTGAGGTCAGTATCAGGACCCAGCTGTTGTAGGAATGAGCTTTGTCACTTGTGACATTACACTTAGTTACTGCCAAAGAAGAACGTGAACTCAAATGACTTGGATCAAATCATTATTTCTGGAAATGATAATGAGTTAGAGTTATGTCTAGTGGGAAATATGATGGGAAATAATTAATCTTAATTGCTTACTATAAGTGAGATTACTCAGGATACTACTGAATTTCTGTTGGTGCCTTGGAGAAAAGATTACACTAAAATGGAAGAGGGTCTATATTCTCTGGAGAAAGGATTATAAGAAGTTGTTTACAAGGATTAGGAAGCAGCAAGAGCAGGGCTCTTCCCTAAGGAGAAATAAGTCAGACATTGAGGCCAACCACCATGCAGACTGGGTAAAGACCTCACCAAGAGAGTGCAGTCCCACCATGTCAGGCAGGCCAGCAGAGCAGGGTGGTGAGGAAAGTCTGTCCTTTCAGTGTGTCCCACTGACCATCAGGCAAAATCGAGTTACAGGCCAGGCCCCTCCACTGACTCCATACAGCTCTTCAGGAGCAGGACTAGGGTCCTCCACTGATTCCATACAGCTCTTCAGGAGCAGGACTAGGGTCCCTTCACTGACTCCATACAGCTCTTCAGGAGCAGGACCAGGGTCCTCCACTGACTCCATACAGCTCTTCAGGAGCAGGACCAGGGTCCTCCACTGACTCCATACAGCTCTTCAGGAGCAGGACTAGGGTCCCTTCATTGATTCCATACAGCTCTTCAGGAGCAGGACTAGGGTCCCTCCACTGATTCCATACAGCTCTTCAGGAGCAGGACTAGGGTCCCTCCACTGATTCCATACAGCTCTTCAGGAGCAGGACTAGGGTCCCTCCACTGATTCCATACACTCTTCAGGAGCAGGACTAGGGTCCCTCCACTGATTCCATACACTCTTCAGGAGCAGGACTGGAGTCCCTCCACTGATTCCATACAGCTCTTCAGGAGCAGGACTAGGGTCCCTCCACTGATTCCATACACTCTTCAGGAGCAGGACTAGGGTCCCTCCACTGATTCCATACAGCTCTTCAGGAGCAGGACTAGGGTCCCTCCACTGATTCCATACAGCTCTTCAGGAGCAGGACTAGGGTCCCTTCATTGACTCCATACAGCTCTTCAGGAGCAGGACTAGGGTCCTCCACTGACTCCATACAGCTCTTCAGGAGCAGGACTAGGGTCCTCCACTGATTCCATACACTCTTCAGGAGCAGGACTGGGGCAGACATGGCTGGGACAGCTCATCCAGGTATTGACAGGTGAAATGGGGCTCCTGAGCCCAGGGGGGGTGGGGTGGATGCCCCAGGTGAGACTGGACAAGACCATTATTCCCCAGGGGCTCTGACAATGAGCACCTCTACTAAAAGTAGTTATAATTACATTTGAAAAAAGTCCTGTACTGCTACAGTTAAGAGAAAATGATTGTCAAATAAGGAAAGTGCATTTCAAACACCATAGTATTTCCTAGGTTATGAAACTTCTGTTAGGCCAAACAAACATACCTCACAGTTCATTGACAGGCAGTTCTTTCATTGTAGATACTGCTGGGTTCTATTTTTATGTAATTCTGTACATAGTTTTTCCCTTTTGAAAAGTGTAATAATATGAAATAGGAAACCTCTTCAAATTTTTTGCTGAGAATGTTTACATGCTCTATTCACAGAAAAAAAAGAAGAGGATGGTAAAAAATTGCTCCCATTATCAGTGCCACCCAGGACATACCACCCAGTTACTCGCATTAAAAAGAATTTTATAAGTAAAAATGCACTTGCTGTTATGACAGGGGAGCCTAAAAAGCCTCGACATTTTTGTGTTGATACAAGACAGGGAGATAAATATCTCCTTGAACCTTCAGGACTTTTTCCAAAATACATTAACAAAAAGGTATGTTTTATTAAATTATATTGGAAATACTATTCATAATGCCTATTTTAGTTTCACCATTGCATAGATACCATTGCTGTTTGTGTTAGACCTCTTGAATTCATGGAGAAGAAATCACTGGCACTAGATTTGTGCTTTGCTTTTGCTCTGTTTTCATTTGCTTATGCTGTCAGCCAAAAAATTTTGCAGAATGATTGTTCTAAAGCAATGGCATATGTCTTGCATTGGGAACCCAGGGAGTGTATAATGGGAGACACGTAATTCTATGATGAATGAATGTTTGCTGCTTAGAAAAGACAGACAGGGAAGAAGAGAAGGAGGGTTGCACTTTGAATGAAGGAGCTGTTCAAATATATGGAGTTCTTCTATGAAATTGGTAACAGGCTGGTTGAGCCTGTGGGTCAGAATCAGAGGAAAGACCAGCAACTGTCAAAAGTGTGTTTGTTATGGAGCACCCAAAAAGGTGAGGAGCTGGATGAAAATCTCTTTAAGCAACTTGAGGAAATCTTCAGGTCACAATGCAGCTTCTTATGGAAGACTTCTCTCTCCTTGAAAGCTGCTGAAAGGATAACAAACCCAATGGCATGAAAGCAATTGAAAAAGTTTCCTGAAGCATGCCAGCAACATCTTTCTTGACAGATGGTGCATGAGCCAGTCAATGATCATGCTCTTCTGCTACTTACAAACCAGGAAGAATTGCTCAGGGGTGTGATAATCAGTTGTAGTCTGGGTGGCACAGAGCATGTAGCAGTTGCAGACCCCCTCCTGTTCAGGGAGCCAGGTGGGCACTGACTGCTCAGGAGAGCAAACAGCAGCTTATTGAGGGTAACTCATGTGAGACAGCTCTGGAAAGCAAAGGCTGACATGCTTTTAGGGAGAACCTCCTCTGTCCACAGGAACAGTCCATCCCCTACCAGGAAAATAAGATCTATCAAGAGTCTGGCTTATCTAAACATGTAACCCATGACAGAGCATTAAGAGATGACATAACTCATGACAGAGAAGATGCCAAAAAGAACCTGAAGCTCTTGCAGTACTTTTCCATGGCTAAAAATGGATATAAACAATACTAGTCATGGTGCTACCTGACACTAAAAGATTAGTGAATAATTTTGCATTTAGTAGAAAGAAGGTAGACTCTGATATCTTTTGGCTAGAGGAGCTTCATTTTCAAAGGTTAAGGTAAAATAGGTGTGTTTCCCCAAGAATGTCTGGGATATTCAGAAGTTATTTTTTTCCTCACTGAAACACATAAGTGTGGGATAGTTTATCCTTCTTAATTAGTCTTAATTAGTCTTAATTTTCATGTATGTGTTCTTGTATGTTGAAATGTTCAGCAAAAATCAGGATACAGGAAGACCTTTCAAAGACATTCTCTAAGGAATGTTTCCAATCATAGAAGCTAACACTGTATAAAAATGTAAAATAGCTCACTGTCATGAACAGGTTTCAAACTCCTTGCTCAGCCATCAGTTCTTATGAATAGACATTTTGGATTCTGGTTTCTTTTTTCTTCTAAGGTTGTGAAAATAAATTGAAAGGAATTATTTATATGTTTTTCTCAAGCTAAAAAGATGGTCGTGTTTGACACTTAAGAACATGGTGACTTAGGATTTTAGTGCTCAGTAGCACAAATTGTCATTTCAAGCTATTTTTGCAAATGGATGGATGACAGGTATCTCTTTGTTTCCTTCTGAAAAGCACATATAAGGAATTTCTTCCTTCTCCTTACAGAATTATGGCGTTTTACCAAAATATGTGATACAGAGAAATGAAGAAATGAAGAGAGAGGAGGAAGAATACCAAGCCAGTGTTTTGGAGCAACTCAAGAAGAAAGCTATGAAACTACTATCTGAAGAAGAAAGGACAAATGTTCTGAAGGTGCATATTTTGATTTAGTTTAATTAGTATAATATCCAAAAGATTAAATGCGGTAATGTAGGTCCATATAAATAATAAAAGTATACTTTTTTGGTTTTTTAAGTGAAATGAATTAGTTGGCTACTTTTTCACTAGATGGAGCTGTAGAACAGTTGTATACAACTGAAAGGAACTTATTTAGCTACAGTTTTAATAGGTTTCAATTCTGTTTGGTTCTTATTCACATTAATGACTTGAAATTTCAGTGAAACTTCAAAGAGCAGAAAATCACCAATATGGATTTAGTGACACTTACTAGTGGAGAAATAATTTTTTTCCTAATGCAGAATATTGCTTCTTTTACTGGCAGTTTCTATCTTCACATTGTGACCTCACTGATTAAAGCATAATGACTTGCTTTAAAATGTGGCAAAAAAACCCAGAATTAAACTGCAGTATAGTCAGAACTATGACTGAAAATTTTGTATTTTGTCAAGTTGTTCTGTATACTGTCTTGCATACAGTTTTTATTGCACAAGATTTTTTAAAGAGAATTAATACCATAAAAGAAGTAGAGCATAAAACAGATATCCGGTTCTGACCTAGAACTGGAATTTTTCTTGACCATTTTTTAGACAAATTTCCTATGAAAATGAAGCTTATATGTCTGTGATGTCTGTATATCAGTCTGTCCCTTAATAACTTGCTCTTAGCATCCACCTGAAACAAATTAATAGATAGATGGACAGCTCAAAGATGCTGAATGCCCACAAAAAAAAAAAATCTAGAGAGAAAACAATGTCTAACTTGCTTGTCTGAAAGACAAACTGGTTAATTGGCAAGGTCTGAAATGTCCAGCACAGTGGTCTTTTGCATGTACAACAAACAGTAGAAGCTAGGAAGGAGTATGGGAGAGAGGTGACAGCAATATAAAGAACAAAACATATTTTTTATATTGCACTGACAGCAATATAAAGAACAAAACATATTTTTATGGTGAGAAAGGCATAGGACAAGCTGATGGTCCAACAAGTTAACAATGCAGCAAAAATATATGTGCAAAAAAGGCATGTGAGTTCAGCTGCTCACCATTCTGCATTTAGTTTGATTAAAATTATGTTTTATATTTTTCAAATAGAGGAATGTACTGGATTTTTTTTTTCATTTTTAAATTTTTTAGATTGTTTTTATTAACTCAGTATTTCTTTCCATTTTTTTTCAAAAACATTTACCTTTCCATGGGCTTACTTATGCATTTATATTGTCAGGAAGAATCAGTGTCCCTAGGGTATGTGGCTTCTACCCAGTGCTCAGCTGTAGACATATGGCAACTTCTGTCCTTTAAAATAATTGACATTGCTACTAAACACATGTGCACTATCTGATTTGAAAGAATACGTGGCAATAGATGCCTGAGACCAAAATCAACCCTCCTGACCTTACAAAAATAAAGGGAAGTAATTTGTGCCAACATTTTTTGAACTCTTCATTGTGCTTACTTTGGTTGGGATTTTATGAGAATAAAAAGTGAACGTTGATAGATGCAGTACATATTTCTCACTAATCCAGCATGAATTAGAATTCCATATATAGAGCTGGATATTCAGTTTGTGATCTAGCAGTAGGAATAGCAGTCAGCATATTACGTTGTTGGAGGAGCTGTGAAGGAGATTTTTTATAGACTCATGATCTGCTTTTGATCTCTCCACTTCGTAGGGATAGAGCAGTTTTGGTGAATGTATGCTCTAATGTTTTAAAATTCACTATTTTCAATTATTTCCAAGCCAGTTCTTACTGTACATAAAGAATGTACATAATGTACATAAAAAGAATTATTTAAAGAATCTATGAATGACTTTTTAATGAAAGTTTTTGAAAAGATGAGATTTATTTTTATGCCTATATATTTGTAAACTGTACCTGATGCCTGGTAGACTATGAAACTTACCAAAGTACTTTACAGCCTTGGATAGCAAAAGCAAGTATCACTACCAGACAGTAGGTAAATATCCTTGTTGCTCTAAGTTTCACATGTAGCAGTAAAGTTTTTAAGCTTATGAAGATTTTTGTAATGACCTTTATGAACAACACTTAGATGCTTAATATGAATATGCAAAAAGCATGAATTTCTATGCAATAAATGCACTGGTTTGAATTGTTAAAATATTAGTTCATAATAAAGATTAGATTTTTCTTAGTGTTGTCAGGAGAGTTCTTTTTTTTTGTAAATCGATTTATAGAGTCAACAAAAGACAAGTTTTTAAGCACAAGAGCCCTTAAGTTCTGAAATAGAAACAACAGTCTTCAAAGCTAAATATGTATAAAAATAAACCCTCTAAATTTAACTTCAGTATGTTCATCAGTTAGCCAGACTGTGAGAAAAGTGTTTCATAATAATGGAGGACGTGAGGTTGGAAATCACAGTGTGCCATAAAATCAGGGTGCCAATTGAATCCAGTTTTGGTTAGGGAGAAGAGCTGAAAACTTTGGTTCCCAAGAGAGTAATTTCACTTCTTTATTCGTGAAGATACATTGTGATATCCTCTAAGGTGACAGAACTGAGAGCCATAAACATTTATGAGAACTGTTTTCTCACCAAGAGGTGTGTTATTTACTGATTGCTGTCTCAGTTCCTTGTTAGTTGTGATTATTAAGTTCACATATAGTTTTCATGGAACATTTGATGCACTAGATAAACTCTACTAAATCCTCACATACACGTGGATAGAATGTTTAGATTTTGATTATACTTTTGAGGAAAGTAAGAGCAGTGGTTGCGGTAATTGTAAGAAAGATATATAAAGACAAGATGTAAATTTTATTTTTCTACCACTCTCTGGTTCCTTTTAGTGTATATTGGTGATAAAAGTGTTGTCTCTGGTGTCTCTATGTCTCTGACTTAACAGATTTATGAATAAGTTTTGATTATAGCACTTTTAATTTGTTAATGTAGAATTTTAGTCTCAAGGTTTTATATATAGAGGATATGGTTTGCTCTATCTAGAAAGGTAATTCTTTGCATAGCAGCATGCAAGAGAGGTAGTAGTTATTGTTGTTGATAGGGTCAGTGACAGTTAGGGTTTTTAGTCCAAATGATAAAAAAAAATTGCTGATAGTTGTTACTGTAAATGTAGATTAGAAGGGGAATGCAATTATTCAGTGTTTTTTCAAAGTAGTTTATAGAAGTTAAAGTGTTGTGGAATCAGTGACCATGGTCTGAATGAAATCTCTATTACAGAAAATTAGGCTAGAGGTGGTGAGATGGCCTGAAACTTTGCTGAATTTTGCTCAATATGGCTGGAGTTCCAAGTATCATAACTCTTAAGGATTTAATTGATTTGCTCCAATTAAGATGACTACACATTATTCATGTACTTATCTATTATTTTTACATTGCAGTAACACTTAGCATATGTAATATAAATTTAAAAACCAAGTAGTTTATGTACATATTGTTCTTACTTTTTCTCATATGTTTCCTTTTCATGTAATGGCACCAGGCACTGAAAAAGAACTGGGAGGAAATAAATCGTGCATATCAAAGTCTTCCAATAGTAACAGACACCAGGTACAAGCAGATGCATAAAGAAGAGCTGGAATTAAAGCTGAAACAACTGGAGCATGACATAGCAGCAATTGAGAAGCATAAATGTGTCTACATTGCAAACATATAAGGATTGTTGTTCAGATATGGTCTCTATTCTCCTTTTTCCCTGTCCCCACATCTCCAAGAAGTGCCTCTCTAAATTCTCACAAGATGCTACTGTCAACTATTTAGAAGGAAACGCTCAACTAAGTATGTAGCATCTTAGAAAAGTTGTTACATGTAATTCTCATCTGTACAATTCCCAAACATTTTGAAATAAAATGCTTAACTCAACTTTGAGTATGAATAATGAATTTAATTTATTATTCTTTGTAATTTTTATTAACTACTAGGATTTCTATAAACATCATACAAAAAGCATATAAAACACTGTTTCTTATGTTTGGAGTACATCTTTCCTTGCCTAGCCAAAACAAAAGGAAATAATTGGCTGCAGAAGACAGCTTGGTAAATATAACTTCAGGATGGAATGGCTTCTGGACTATATATTAAAGAGATGTTTTGCTTTACTTAAAAGCTTGAGTAATTGTATTTCTAAACAGCTTGGGTTTTGTATAACATTTTGTGTACTTATTTTTTGTTACCAAAGCCAGTTTTTAATGTGAAAACCTGTAATAATACAGACTTCACACAATACAGACACCACGTGTGTGTTTTCACAAGTACATAATTCTGTAATACTATAGTAAATCTACAGTTAAATTAGAAAAATGTGTTTTGGCTGGAATTATGTGTGTTGTTAGAATGAAAGCAATATACAAGCATCTGAGTCAAGACTTAGACAAAAATTATATCAGCACACTCTCTTGCAATTGTTTGCATAGGAAGAAAAAGCGTTTTTTTTTCCTGCTGCTTAACCTTTGCTTCATAGAATTGTAGGTATTGTTTAGATTAGAAAAGATCTTTCTCAGCCTTTCAGAACACAGCTTTTTCTGTGTGGTATCAATCACTACCACCAGTAGCTGTTATGACATCATCATATCTGACATCAGCAAAGGATAAAGTCAAAAATTTGAAATTAACTATGAAAACCCAAATTTTCCCGTACATTGAGTTCCTTTCCTAAATTTGTCAGGGAATGGCTTTGAAGACTTCACAGTGATTCTAGCTCTGTTTCTTGTGCATGTTATACTTGTCTATGACATACACTAGGAACAGGTGGGTGAGCAGGAACGTGAATTTTCTTATTTGTAACTTATTGTTAAGCAATCATGCTTATTTTTGAAGGATATAAGCTGGAAGAAAGCTGCAGATTTGTAAAATATGGATTTAAAAGAAATGAATGTGTCATTCAAAAGAATGACACATTGTATATTTTAATAAAACTACACTAAATTGTTAGCACTTAATAATATGTGGCATTATCTTCTATCAGGTACTTGTGAAGTACCTGATGCCCCTCTTAAGAAATTCAGTGTAATCAGAAAAGGCTATTTCTTGGCTTGAAATTAAAAAAAAAGGGATTTGACTCCACAAGAGCATGGATTCCCACTGCCTCCCTGTCAGCCTTTATTTGCAGACTGGCTGATTTAGGTTAGGATCAGCATTTGGTTCTTCCACTTATCATCAGTGCTAACTTTATGGAAATACAAAATAGGTGGTGGCCTATCCCAAAATTTGGGATGAGCAGCTAGGCCACACTTAGAAACATTCCTCATTCACCCACATAAATGACTGGTTTTTGTCAGAAGTATGTTAATCCATTATTGGGAAATTAGGAAGTGAATGGGAAGGGATGCAGAAATATTCCTGCTTAACAGAAGAGGAAGAGACCAAAGCCAGTGTCCTGCTGTAGCTGAGTGGACTGTCACTAGTGTCCTTCAACAATGCTGTGGCATTTTTTTCCTGAGCCTCATAGAGCTCTTTGCAGGTAGATGATGAGATGTGAATTGCTTCTGTCACCCTATGGAGAGGCTTTTGGTGTGTATTCCATGGGACCCGCCTATACCTCTGATTATGGAGAAAAAATACAATGAAAATCATTGAAAATGCATGCAGAAGGGTAATGTTTTTATCCTTTAGCTCTCTCTGGGAAATTTGACAAAATAAATTTACAGAATCCAAAGAATGTAACTGTATTTATATGTTCAGGAAATGCCAGTAATTGAAAGTATAATGTTCATGAATCAACTAATATGTACCATTGGTATAACAAAATGAAAAAGGTGGATAAACTCAATTGTTCTGATAGAATTGTTCCCCCATAAAAGCTATTAAATATTAACAGAAACAAGTCTGTCTACAGGCTAAAAAGAAGAATTACCAGTTGAAACATCCTTTAAATTCACTAGTCAGTTACTAATAATCAATGAAATAACAAAGACTATAATCAAACTGCTTCAGTACTTCATAATTATAAAACTGGTAATTTTAAATTGTCCATATTAAATTGGATAACCATAATAAAACATGAAAAATGGGGTATGAATAATCTATTGTAACTCAGTAAGAGTTATGTTCCCACAAACTGAAAATATTTCCTGTTGGAAGTTGTGCATGACAAAGCTGTGTATCTATTTTTTAAAAATAGCAACGTGAAATTATGATGAATATCTCACTGGCTTTTCTTGAGAATGAAACTATTTATATTCAGGAAGGAAGGGATCAGATATGGCATCGTCACAAACAGAGGGAGTTCCTGATTGCCTCAAGCAAACATCAGCTCTGACAGGAGCATGTGGGCTCCATGTGGCTGATCTTAGACCATGGTGGGTTTCTGGGCTCTGCATGCATTCCTGGAGACTAAGTCTGGGACAGTTCTTCAAAAGCTAGAGAGGTAACCTCATTCCCCTCACAAAATTCAGCGGGAAAAATGGGAGAAATTCACCACTGAATTCATTTTCATAGTCTCTATAGGCAGTTTTTTTTGTGGGAGGGCATGTTCTGACCCCTTGTATATTTTTGTGGAAAATTGGTATGGCAAACTGCTGCTGTGATGGCTCTGCCATGAAGCTAAAATCTAGTCCTTTCATTGGCATACATTTCAGGCAACACAATATATCTAACAATTTCAGACTTAATGAAGGCAGACATCTTTCAGATAAGAAAATTTCACATATATGCAGATTAATAGCATCCTAGATAAATGCTAGCCCTAGTCCACACTTTCATCCTCAGCTTTAGGATGCTTATAATATTAATGACATAATTAGAGGGGAGACAGGTGGCAAACCCTGTTATTAAGGTCATCTGACATTTCCCATAGTCAAGGAAGGCAGCTGCTGAGCCCTGCAGCATTGTCCACCCCAGGTGTGTATTGAGCATGACTAAGCCAAGGGGGAATGGCCTTGCCTTCCATGAGTGGCCATCCAAGGTGGTGATGTACACATGACCACATAAATGCCTAGATTGTAGGATTTTTCATACTATATCTTCCTCCTGCTCCTTCCTGTCATGCAAAGTTATGTAAATAAAATACAAATAAATTCACAGTGTTCACCTTCCCAGCTAAGAAGTGGCATTATGGTAGGAATGCAGTGTGAGTTATTTCTTGTGGTTTTTTCTTTACTGTTTAGAAGGTGCTGATATAAATATGACTTAAATTTCAGCAAGCTATGAAACACAATTTTCTTATAGACTGTACCTGCACAAATAGTTGTAGACAGGCAGACATAGCCAAATAGTAGCTGTATGCTGGTCTCGTTGATGCTGCTAGGAGAGTGAACTTCTGTTCAGCCACAGTACCAGCCTGTGGTGTTAATTCATTATGCCATGCCAGCCTCCACATTGACTACACAACATGAAGAAATTCACAGAAATATGCAAACACTGGAATAACTTTGTATTCAAATCTTTCCTCAAATGTCCTTTGCAGTGGTGCTCACCAAAACTTTAACAGCAGCTGAGCTGCTGGTGAGCTGAAATAAGGCTTTATCTTGCTGACCTGTGCAGTTTCCTCGAACCCCCCTGGCACTGTAGCCTGTTGTTTCTTGTCTTAGATTGTTAAGCTATCAGTCATATGAGTTGTGTTTTTCTCTCTTTGCTTAGTGGCTGACACAATTTTGTCTGTTAGTAGAGCTCTTGTGTGCTTATAATAACAGTAATAATAAATATGATCATCTGGGCATGAAGACCATGCAATAAGATTCTTGTTGTTTACTAAAAGGATCTGTTTTCCAAGAACACTCATGTCATTTGTTTCAGCAACTGGAAAGTAGGAGTTGAAGGAAGAGAAATGAGATTTAAAGCACTTAACTTATTCCCTGGAGCAATATGATTTATTCATGTCTTTGTCATAGCATGTTTTTAAATGCAATGGTAAATGACTTATACCTGGCTTTTCCACTGGTAACCATTAATACTGCATTTCTTATTTTTGGGATTTCTGACATGCAATTTGAGCTCATCTCTTTTAAATACAGGATATGTGTGCCTAAAGTTAGAACTATGATTTGAGCCTAAACAGCACTATGGAATAGTTTAAAAGCTATTGGTTACTCAAAATTAATAAAATTAATTAGTTTAGTCTTGCTAGGTGAGAGCCCTCATATGGAAAATTCGGGTGACTCAATCCTCTAATTCAAATAGCTGCTGTAAAAATGGACAAGTACCTCTAGAACTGTTCTTTGAGGCCCATTCTAAAGGATCTCATGTTGCTTAGAGGTCCATATTCAAGCTGAGGAAGCAATGTAGTAATTTCTCTTTGGAGGAAAAAAACTCCAGTAGTGTTCTACATGTGGCCCCAAGCACTGCACAAGGAAGAAACAACCACATTTTGCTGTTTTATCAGGAGGAAGGATTTGTCTTTTACACAAACAATAAAATCAGTAAATGGTCGAAATCCAGCATTTCAGCACCCTAGGTTATGGGTCATTCTGTGCTGCAACAAAACACAGAGGCTGTCCAGACATGAACATTCACTGTCCTATGCTACAGGAGAACTCTTGGGACTCTGTTTTTCAATAACTTTGGTTACTGCACTGTTTATTTTAGGCAAGCTGTGAAGTATACAAAATTATATCAAAGATAACTGAGCTATTCTGTGGGGAAAAAAGCCCTTAAACTCTTACTTGTTTAGGGTTTTTTTTAGACACTTTGAATTCTTTTTTAGACACTTTGAATTCTTTTGTCTGGCAGACTTTTCTAGACTTTAATTAAGAAAAAAATAATTTAAAAAGAGGGATGAAGCCAAGTGAACAACCTCCTTATAAAGAAAACAAACTCTAACAGTTAAATACATTACACTGGGTGTGACCCACGATATAGTTACAACTCCCTGACTAGTTTTCATGGTCATGCATGATGAATTTGTCATAGGATATGATGTGAGCAGCATTCCTTGAAAACAGTGCTTTATCATTCAAACATCAGTATGTCTAAATAGCTGGTTAGGGCAAATATTTCCATAATATTATAAAGAATATAAAGTTTATTCTAGTATTGAAGGACAAGAGGAAATTTCTGTATGTATTTGTTTCAGCTATAAGGACTTTATATTAATAACATGAACCTGAAAAGCAGGAAGGGTATCTTCAGGAGCCAGGAAATTGCAAAGCAAAGCTTGCTGCTCTAGTTTG